CCAACATGGGCCAGTGAAGCGACGTCCTCCACAACTAGACTGAAGAAAAAAAAGAACAGCAGCTTGTCCATTCCCCTTCCCCAATTCCCCAGCCCTGTTCCCTCCCTCAATTCCCCAATAAAAACATCTTTAAAAAAAAAAAAAGAAAGAAAACATAATGAAAATACAAAACAATCGAAAGCATTTAGTAAGATGACATTACTAAGTCCAAACATCAATAAATACTCTAAATCAGAGGTTCTCAACCTTTCACAGGGGTCACCTAAGACCATTGGAAAACACGTATTTTCGATGGTCTTAGGAACCGAGACACCGCTCCTCTATCCGTCTCCAGGCCCACATGCAGATACACCCACATACGAGTACCCAGCGACCCCTGTGAAAGGGTCGTTCGACCCCCAAAGGGGTTGCGACCCACAGGTTGAGAACCGCTGCTCTAAATGTAAATTGACTGAATTCACCCATAAAAAGGCACAGAGTGGTTAGGTAGATAAAAAAGCAAGACCCAAATAAATATACACAACCTACAATAGACTCACTTCAGATTTAAGGACACACAGAGAGAGGCTCAAATGAAAGTATGAAAAGGGTATTACAAGTGGGACCAAAAGAAAGCAGAGGTAGCTATACAGATATTACACAAAATACACTTTAGGCCAAAAACAATTGAAAGAGACAAAGAAGGTCATATATGATGATTCATCAAGAATACACAACAATCATAAATCTATACCTACCCAATTATATATTTGCTTAATATATTTGGAACACCTAAATATATTAAGCAAATGCTAAGAGAACTGAAGGGAGAAACAGACAATATAATAATAGTAGGGGACTTTACTACCCTACCTTCAGCAATGGATAGAGCATCCAGACCAAAACAAAACAAAAAAACCATTGGACTTGAACCATACATTAGAGCAAACAGATATTTATAGACTATAAGTTCATTCCATTCACAGCAGCAGAATACACATTTTTCTCAAGTGCACACAAAACATTTTCCAAGTCAGATTACATAACAGACCAGGAAACAAGTCTTAGCAAATTTAAGAAGGCTGAAGTCATACCAAGTATCTTTTCCAACCACAATGGTAAAAAATTAGACATTACAACAAGATGAAAGCTAGAAAATCTATAAATATGTGAAAATTAAGCAACACATTCCTGAACAACCAACGAATCAAAGAAAATACCAAAAGAAAAATCTAAAAATATCTCAAAATAAATGAAAATGGGAACACAACATACTAAGACCTATGGGAAACCTACTGCAAAAGTAGTTCTGAAAGGGAAGTATGTAGCAATAAATGCATATGTAATAAAAACAGAAAGATTTCAAACAACCCACTTTACACCATAGGAACTAGAAAATGATGAACAAACTTAGCCCAAAATTCACAGAAGGAAAGAAATAACAAAGATCACAGTGGAAATAATGAAAGAGACCATAAAAACAATAGAAAAGATCAACAACACTAAGGGCTGGTTTTTTAATAAACAAAACTGAGAAACCTTTAGCTACATTAAGAAAAAAAAAAAGATGACACAAATAAAATCCGAAATGAAAAAGGAACATTACAACTGATACTACAAAAAAGAAATATACAAGATAATAAGAGACACTATGAACAATTATATGCCAACAAATTGGAAAACCTAGAATAAATGGATAAATACCTAGAAACATATACTCTGCGAAGACAGAATCAGGAAGAAACAGAAAATTTGAACATACACCAATAATAAGTAAGGCGATTGAGTCAGTAATCAAAACCTCCCAACACAGAAAAGCCCAAAACCAGACGGCTTCACTGGAGAAGTCTAGCAAACATTTAAAGAAAAATTAATGCCAAACCTTTTCACACTCTTCATTTAAGAGGAGCAAACACTCCCAAACTCATTTTATGAGGCCAGTGTTACTTTAACACAAAAGCCCCGTAATGACACTACAAGAAAACTAAACTACAGGCCAACATCCCTGATGAATATAGATGCAAAAATTCTCAACAAGATACTAGCAAACAGAATTTAACAATACATTAAAAGGATTTTACACCATGACCAAGTGGTATTTATCCGTGGGATGCAAAGATGGTTCAACATAAGCAAAACAATAAATGTTATACACATTAATAGAATGAAAGATTTTTTTAAACTATGATCATCTCAATAGATGCAGAAGAAAATGACAAAGTACCTATCGTTTCATGATAAAACCCCTCAACAAATTAGGTATAGAAGGAACATACTTTAATATAATAAAGGCCATATACAACAAATCCACAGCTAACATCGTACTCATAATCATTTCATCATAATGACGAAAGGTTGAAAGTTTTTATTATATGGTCAGGAACAAGACAAGGGTGCTCACTTTCACTACTCTTATTCAACATTGTACTGGAAGTATTAGCTAGAGCAATTAGGCAAGACAAAGAAATATAAGGCATCTAGATAAGAAAGAATATTGTCATTATTTGTAGATGATATGATCTTATATATAGAAAATCCTAAAGACTCAATCAAAGAACAGTTGGAACTAATCAACAAATTTAGTAAAGTTGTAGGATATAAAATTAACATACAGAAATCAGTTGCATTTCTGTACATTAAAAGTGAAACATCTGCAAAAGAAATAAACTACGCTATTCACAAAACCATCAAAAACAATAAAATAATTAGGAATAAGCTTAACTGAGGAAGTAAAAGATCTGTACAATGAAAATTACAAGACTCTGATGAAATAAACTGAGAACACAAACAAATGGGAAGAGATCCCATGTTCATGGCCTGGAAAAATTAATATTGTTAAAATGCCTCTATTGCCCAAAGTCATGTATAGATTCAATGTAATCCTTATCAAAATTCCAATGGCATTTTTGGAAGACTCAAATAAAATCAGAAATGAAAGTGGAACATTACAACTGGATAATAAAAAGAGTCCTGGGGGTGACCGCTTAGCTCAGTTGGTTAGAGTATCGTGCTGATAACACCAAGGTTGCCGGTTTGATCCCTGCATAAGACACTGTGAGCTGCACCCTCCTTAAAAAAAGAGTCAACTAAGGCTGGCCGAGTGGCGCGTTGGCTAGGAGTTGGCTTGGGACGCCAGCTCTGAGCAGCAGGGCCTCAGTTTGGATTCCACATGAGGGCCAGTGACGCTGCGCCCTCTACAGCTAAGATGGTGAACAACAGCTAGACCTGAAGCTGGGCTGCCGTCAATCGCCGCCAATGGCGTAGGCTGCAGTGGGGCTGACCGGCAGCAGGTGTGAGCAGGTGTGAGCTGCGGTGAGCTGCGGTGAGCTGCCATGAGCGGCCGTCTAATTGCCGGCGAGTGACTGCCTCACCCGGGAAGAGCGCAATGATAATACCAACATGGGCCAGTGAAGCNCCTTTCACAGGGGTCGCCTAAGACCATCGGAAAACAAAAAGATATTTACATTATGATTCACGACAGTAGCAAAATTACAATTATAGAGTAGCAACGAAAATAATTTTATGGTTGGGGGTCACCACAACATGAGGAACTGTATTAAGGGGTCGTGGCATTAGGAAGATTGAGAACCGCTGCTCTAGGAGAAATGAAAAATTAGAGAATTTTATTTTAGAAGCTCCTATAGACCTTATGGTAGAAAGTTTCCCCCCACCAAGTAATAAGTGAATAAAAAACATAAAATTTTTCAGAGTGCCAAGATATACTCTACAAAAATATCTACAAGGGAATGTTTTAAAAGTATATTTCATTAAAAATATTTTTAATTTACATTCTTTCAAATAATTGTTCTTTTGATTATGTAGCTTTTAAAAGTTTTTATTTCTTAGAAATATTATTTTACTTCAGAACTATATGGAATGTTGAAGAAAACAAATTTAATTCATACTGATTCCATGTATTCCATTCTGTACATTAGTACATATATTGATCACTATGCTGTAAGTTTTCTACTTATATTCAAAAATATAAAACTGTTAACTTAAAAATATAGTTTGCTGTGGTATTCCTGGCTTCCCATGCATATCATTAAGTCAACCCAGCAATGTTGCCATATTCTAGTCTTTTTACTATCATTAAATGTTTATATGATTTTAACAACTGAAATGTCACTTAAAATTTTTTTAGGTTATTAGATGAAGCTAACACACTGCACTGACTACAGGACCTCTGGCAGCTCTGTTCTTGGATGATTTTTTTTTTCTGTTCTGTACATAAGTGATCTTGCTTATATAGCTATAGATATGCTACGTAGTTCTGAAGTAAACATGGATATGAAGGTAAAAAAACAAAAACTCAGGGGTAAACAGTCTTAAATTTGAAGTGGAATAAGCATTAAGCTTCACTTTTACAAAACTAATCACAAAATATAAATCTGCATTTATTTTCTTATTCACCACCTCTCCTGAACTGGGCCAAGTTCAGAGAGATACAAGCAGCACATAACCATAACAAAAAAAGTTTAAATGGGACAGACAACAGAAAAAGGTTCTTAAATAACCCCCTAGAACAAGGAGCATGTACCTCTGGAAGAAAGCACTCTCTGAAGCAGTGAGGAGGCCCTTCAGGTATCCGCCTTTGAAATGGTTAATTCTGCTGCTGCAAGGGAGCTTCTTTGGTTTGAAGCAGAACCAGGGTTCTCCAGTGTAGAGATCTGTAAAGTTACACAGGGGCAAGCTCCCAGGAAGACACACGTTGCACTCAGTAGTTTCAGAAATTCTTCCTGAACGAAAGAGACTCTTGAAATAGACCCTGTCTGGTTTCTCTTCCTGTAGGTGCTGAAGAACTCGGATCCCTTCACTGGGGTGGACCAGAGATATGGACACTTTAACTTTGCCTGGCCAGAGCAAAGTAAAAAAGACTTTGTAAAACCCATTCTGGTAGTCTACCACTCTGCCCACAGCCCCTGCCTGCAGCTTAGGCGAGTGGATTCTGGCCTGCAGGTAGTCTCCGCCATACTTCTTGGGCTTTCCTTGAAAATCGTGCACATGAACAAGCACCTCTAGCTGGCTTCCCACCTTGAAGAAGGCTGCAGAGTTCAAGATGACAAAGTAGCTGGAAGAAGGGTCACTGCTCTTCAAAAAGGGGACTGGGCCCACGTGAGGCACCTGCCACTGTAAGTCAGTCAGCAAGGAGTCCTCCTCCATGCGCTCCCAGCTGGACAGAGTCTGGTGTTCATAGTCACAGTAAGAATTCCGGCTAGTTCCTGTCACCTGGGAGGAAACAAACTGTCCACTATTGTCGATGAATGTGGCTGAAAAAGTCTCATGGTCCAAGTACTAAAGAGAAAGACACAAAAACAGAAACCACAAATACAATAAATTTCCTTATATTCAACCAAATAAATCTCTGCTTCAATTTCAATTTTAATAAAACTACTTGGGATGACATTGTTTCAAAAAACAGAGCTCACTTGTACAGGGCTACCTTATTGTAACACGGTTAAATCAAGATGAGGAAAAGTCATAGCAGGCTTCCCACACTTTTGTGAGTTTTTCCTCCAGGAGCTCCATCAGGTTCCCACAATAAATACTGGAGGAAAATCCCCTTAGTACTTCCAGCAAGAGAAGGAAAAAGGAATCATTCTGAAATATACAGAGCATTGTGTTCTTCCTAACAAGGCCTGCCCTTGAGAGAAACTATTTTACCAGAGGCTAACCTATCGGGGTTTTATCAGAGCCTAACCAAACTGGGGTAAGGGACATACACAACTCCAGCCCATTGTAACCATTCTGTCCAACTTAAGAGATTGGGGGAGAACTAAGAAGCACTTTGCAGTTGACAGTCTAGGAGCCCAAGCTCACTAAAGGACTGAGACCTTAATCATTGGACTATAAGACACTTCACCTCCCCTACACCTTACTACCACGCCACTAAAAGCCTTTTTATCGGAATTCCTTTTACCCAATGAGTATATCATGTCTAGCTTTCAACAAAAAATTACAAGACATACTAAAAGGCAAAAAAGAGTTTGAAAGCACACATCAAGTCTCAGAACCACATTCAGCCATAGCAGGGATGTTAGAATAAACAGATCAGGAAATTTAAAACAATTATGATTAATATGCTGAAGGCACTAATGAAAAAGCTGACAATATGCAAAACCAGATGAGCAATATAAGGAGAGAGATGGAAATTCCAACAAAGAATCAAAAAGAAATGCCAAACATAGCAGGAAGGATTTTCAGGGTAGGAAAAATACTCTGTATGATATCATAATAATGAATAGATGGCATTATCATTTGTCCAAACCCATAGAATGTACACCACCAAGAGTGAAGTCTAAGAAAAACTATGGACCTTGGATTATTATAATGTGTCAATGTAGGTTCATCCTTGGTAAAAAATGTACCATTCAGGTGAGTGATGATAATAATGGGGGAGGCTATACATGTATGGGGGCAAGGAAGTACATATGAGAAATCTCTATAATCTTTCTGTAGTGTAAACCCTGACATTTGGTTGTTCTTTTTGCAATGCAAGTGCCTGACTTCGACTTTGATTGCCCAGGCATCCATTTCAAAGAGGCATCCCCATCAAAGACAGCTATCTCAAAAAACCACATTGTCAGCCACACAACTATATTAAGAACCAGGCCGCCTCCCTCCTCCCCAGGCATCTTTGTTTTAGGAATCTTTGATTTAAATTACTGACCACTTGGACCACTTGTTTTTCTCTTCCCATGCCTTAAATTCTCACTCTTACATTTTAAATTCACCAATAAAGAGTAAATTCAGGGCCAGCCGAGTTACACATTGGTTAAGAGCTGGCTTGGGACGCCACCTCTGAGCAGCAGGGCCCCGGTTCAGATCCCACATGAGGGCCAGTGACACTGCCCTCTACAGCTAAGATGGTGAACAACAGCTCGACCTGGAGCTGGGCTGCCATGAGTCACTGAATACAGCATAGGCTGCAGCCCCTGTTGCAGTGGGTTGCCATGGGCTACAGTGTGTAGCCAGCAGCCAGCGTGAGCGGCCAGCAGCCGCAGTGAGCGGCTGTCCAGAAGCCGGCGACTGATGTGCCTCGCCCGGGAAGAGCGCAATGATGGTGCCAACTTGGGCCAGTGAAGCAACGTCCTCCACAACTAGACTGAAGAACAAAAAAACGACAGCAACTTGTCTGTTCCCCTTCCCCCAATTCCCCAGCACTGTTCCCATCCCCCAATTCCCCAATAAAAATCTTTAAAAAAAAAAAAAAAGAGTTGGCTTGGGAGCGCGAGCTCTGAGTAGCAGGCTCACCAGTTCGGATCCCACACGGGCCAGTGACGCTGCACCCTCTACAGCTAAGATGGTGAACAATAGCTCAACCTGGAGCTGGGCCGCCATGAGTCGCCGGCGACGGTGTAGGCTGCAGTCCCCTGCTGCAGTGGGCTGCCATAAGCTACCATGTGTGGTCGGCAGCCAGTGTGAGCCGTCAGCAGCAGGTGTGAGCTGCCAAGAGCCTCTGTGAGCAGCCGTCCAGAGGCCAGTGATCAATCTGCCTCACCTGGGAAGAGCGCAATGATAATATCAACATGGGCCAGTCCTCCACAACTAGACTGAAGAACAAAACGACAGCAACTTGTCTGTTCCCCTTCCCCCAATTCCCCAGCACTGTTCCCATCCCCCAATTCCCCAATAAAAATCTTTAAAAAAAACAAAAACACACCATAAATAAATGAGCAATGTCTTTGACGGGCTCATTAGTAGACTGGACATAGCTGAGGAAAGAACCTCTGAGCTTGAAGTTATGTCAATAGAAACTTCCAAACTAAAAAGTAAGAGAAAAAAGAACGAAAAAATGGGAACAGAATATTCGAGAGCTATGGGACAAATCCCACACACACACTGGAAATTGGGTGAATAACATTTGTAGTACCTAACCCAGGAAACTGCATCTTACATTATGCCATGGGTTAAATAGAAAGGAGAAAAAAAAACAATAACATCAACAAAGCAAAACCAAAAATTACTCCCCATAATAGCTAATATTACCATTACAAACCACTTAAATAAGGCCCCAGTGCCCTGAGTGCTAAACGTGTATCTACCTACTCTGTGACTAGCACCTTGTGTGTGCTCCCAAGTGAGGGGGCAAAAGTGAGTCCAGTAAATAGAGTACTACCAGAAAAACAGATCAGTATCTGTGAGCAAGGGAGAAACCACAAACTTGACCTATAGTGCCACCTTCTGGAAAACAAAACAAGTTAACAGCTGCTAACTTGGTGGATTATAAGAGAGAAGACATAAAAGCTTAAGAATTCTGCCACAAGAAGCAGCAAGAAGTGTGTGTGGAGCAGGTATATCCACACAAGGACAGAGACAACCCCAGATATTCAGGACCAACAAACAGTTTACCCCATCTGAAGGCAACTAGTAAAGATTTGATGAGGTGTCTGCTGCTTCAAATGTAAAAACAGCAATACAAATCTACAAGGAATGTGAAGAAATAATGAAACATGTCATCACCAAAAAATAACAATAATCCTCCAAAAACCAAGCTCAAAGGCATGGAATTTACTGATCTAGCGGATAAAGAATTCAAAATAGCTGTTTGAGGAAACAAGCTACAAGAAAATGCAGACAACTCATCAAAATACATGAACAAAATGAGTAACTTACAGAGAAAGAAATCATAAAACAAAGCAGAGAGAGCATTTGAGATCTTGCTCCCTGGCATATACTGTCAATTTGGCTCAAATAAACTCATAAAAATTCTCAAACAAAAAAAAAAAGCAAACAAATTCTAGAGTTGAAGAATTCAATGAATAAAATGAAAGATGCAGTAGACACCATCTACAGCAGAGTAGATCAAATGAAAGAAAGAATACGTGAGTTACAGGGCAGAAATTTTGAAATAACTCAACCAGAAAAGATCAAAGAAAACAGAACGAAAAAGAGCACAGAAAGCCTACACAATCTATGGGATACTATCAAATGTACAAATATTAGAATAATCAGGATTTGAGATAGAGGAGACAGGGAGAAGGGGGCAGAAAGTTCATTTCTTTAATAATTTTAAGAAATTTAATAATTTCTTTATAATAAAGTGCTGAAAGAAAAAAATTGCCATCCAAGAATACTCTATACCCAGTAAAGTTATCCTTCAGATATGGAAGAGAAATAACAACTTTCCCGAACAAACAAAAGCCAAGGTAGTTCATCACCACTAGACCTGCCTTGCAAGAAATGCTCAAAAAAGGGCCGGCCAGGTGGCACAGTTGGTTATAGTTGGTGGCACAGTTGTGAGCTCTGAGCAACAGGGTCAGCGGTTCGATTCCCACATGGGATGGTGGGCTGAGCTCCCCACCCCCCACAACTAGATTGAAAGCCGTGACTGGACTTGGGGCTGAGCTGCACCCTCCACAACTAAGACTGAAGGACAATAACTTGACTTGGAGCTGATGGGTCCTAGAAAAACACAATGTTCCCCTACCCCAATTCCCCAACACTGTTCCCTTCCCCAATTCCCCAATAAAATCTTAAAAAAAAAAAAAAAGAAAGAAATACTCAAAGGAGTTCTTCATGCTGAAATGAAAAGATGCTAATCAGTGACATGAAAACATACAAAAGTATACAACTGGTAAAAATAAATATACAGTCAGATTTAGAAAACTCTAATTCTGTAATAGAATGGTGTGTTAACTACAACTATAGTATAAAGTTAAAGAAAAAAGTATTAAAAATAACTATTGCTACTATACTTTGATAACAAATACAAAATATAAAAAGAGTTAACTCATGATATCAAAAATATAAAAGGGAAGGAGTAAAAGAGTGGAGCTTTGTATACGATTGAAGTTATCAGCTTAAAGTAAACTGCTTTATCTATGAGATGTTTTATGTAAGCCTCATGGTAACCACAAAGCAAAAACACAGAGTAGATTCACAAAAGAGAAAGGAAAAACTGAGCATACTATCATGGAAAATCACCAATTTACAAAGGAAAGCAGAAACAGAAAGAAAACAGGCTGGCCAAGTGGCTTAGTTGGTTGAGAGTTGACTTAGGAGCGCGGGCTCTGAGCAGCGGGGCTGCTCGTTTGGATCCCGCATGGGCCAGTGGCACTGCGCCCTCTGCAGCTAGGATGGTGAATAACAGCTAGACCTGGAGCTGGGCTGCCACGAGTCGCTGGTTACAACATGGGCTGCAGTGGAGCTGCAGTGGGCTACTGTGGGATACCAGGGTTTTCTGTGGGTGGCCATCAGCCAGTGTGAGCTGCCGTGAGCAGCCATGAGCGGCTGTCCAATGGCCGGTGACTAGTCTGCCTCGGCTGGGAGGAGCACAATGATCATGGTGCCAA